ACTTCTTCCCACGCGGGTGCAGGATCCCAAGGCTTTGGGCTATTCTCTACTGCCTTCCTAAGTCACAAGCAGGGAGCTGGATGGGAAGTAAAGCAGCTGGGACAAGAACAGATGCTTATATATGATCCTGGCACATCAAAGGCTAGGACCTTAGCCACCAGGCCATCGTGTCAGGCCCTTTTATTTTTATTTAAAAGGCAGAGTTTCAGAGAGAGGGAGAGAGATTTTCTGTTACTTTACTCCCCAAATGGTTGCAAATGCCAGGGCTGGGACAGGTTAAAGTCAAGATCCTGGAAATTTATTTGTGTATCCCATGTGGGTGCACGAGCCCAATTCCTTGGGCCATCTTCCAGTGTTTTCCTAGGCTTATTAGCAGGGAGCTAGATTGGAAATGCAGTGGCTAGGAACTGAGAGGGCATGATACGTAACGCTGGTGGTACAAGTGGTGGGTTTACTCTGTTTATGCCAAACATCAGCCCTGTTACATGAACTTATTGTTTCCAAGTTTGATATTTTTTCTTCTTCTTCTTCTTCTTTTTTTTTTTTTTCTGGGGGAAGAGGAGAGACAAAGGGGGAAACCACACTTTCCAAAGGTCCCAGGACCCAGGGATGAACTGCCACCTCATATCAACGCAGGGTCTCCATATGTATATATTCCGAGGGTTCTGCCCAAGTGGTTTGGATGGTTCTGAATGTTGTTGATTTCACTGATTCAAGGATGAAGTTACCCTCCCAATGTCCACTGGCTGACAACAGTAAGCCTCAAGTTTCCACTCACTGAGATATTTTGCTGTCATCATTTGACTGGGGTAGTTGTCCAGTTTGTTCTGTTCTCCTTCTTCTGCTATGGCACCAAAGCAGCTGCCATATTCTCCTTTGACAGCTGGCCCTGTGCCTACTGCTTCACCTTTTTCATTCAGTAGGAAATGTTCTTGCAGGTGAGCCCAAGGTCCTGCGCCAGCCGGATCCCCCAACGTTGTTCCCTTACAATTCTTACAAAATACTTTGACATTTACTGTTTAATCTATTTTTTGAAGTTACACCTTTTCACATACATTTATATTACATTATATTCTACATATTACAAATTCCTTCCCTTCAGTTATTTTGCCTTTTTGCCTTTAAAAAAGGGTTTTCTTTTTTCCCCCATTTTAAAGGCAGATTTTAGAGTTAGATAAAGAGACAGAGTTTCTGCCCCAATGATGGCTGAAACAATCAGAGTGGAGATGATTCAAACCCGAGAGCCAGCAGTTTGTTCCGGGGTCTCCCATGCGGGTGCAGGGTCCCAAGGCTTTGGGCCAGCCTCTGTTCTTTTCCAGGCCATAAGCAGGGAGCTGGATAGGAAGTGGAGCAGCCAGGATACACCAACTGGTGTCCCTGTGGGAAGTTGGCGCTGCAGGCAGGGGTAGCTTACTACACCATACTGCCGGCTCCTGGTTTTGTTTGCTTGTTTGTTTTTTTAATTCTTAAGAGTCTAGCAATACAGTAAACAACATTTTCTGTTGAATCGCTTTTGCAGTGGGAGTGGCCCAAGAATGTTCAGTCCATTATAACGGTGCAAGAGGGAGGTGTCTGTATTTATTTTTATCTAAAATCAAAAAAGGCCAAGTGGTTAAGATGTCCAGTAAGATATGTGTCGCACTGGCACCCTCACCAGGAGGTATCCCTAGGTTTATCTATTCACAGTGCTACTAGTGGCAGCAGCTTTGCTTCGCACGAAGAACCCGGGGTAGCGGGGGCAACCCTCCATGCACTACAGTCCATGCAGGCTGCACTCTCCACATGGAGCTGGCTTGCGCCTTGAGGGGTAGCTATGCTGGCTTAGAATCACTCTCTTATGGTTCTCAGCTTCTTTTTGATCCCTACATTTAGTTACAACAGTAACTATACTTAAGATGTTTTAAGATTATTTGCACTTTCCAGGACCGAAATGTAGTCACAGGCTTTTTTTTTTAATCACAAGCAATGCCATTTCATACAATATTGACACCAATCTTCAATCAACTTCTTCCAAATCGGGCATTTGTTCTCAGTTAAAAAAATTAAAAGAGGGCCCGGCCCAGCGACCTAGCAGATATAGTTCTTGCTTTGAACGTGCTGGGATCCCATATGGGCACTGGTTCTAATCCCGGCAGCTCCACTTCCCATCCAGCTCCCTGCTTGTGGCCTGGGAAAGCAGTTGAGGACGGCCCAAAGCCTTGGGTCCCTGCACATGTGTGGGAGACCCAGAACAAGCTCCTGGCTCCTGGCTTTGGATTGGCTCAGCTCCAGCCACTGCGGTCACTTGGGGAGTGAATCATCGGACGGAAGATCTTCCTCTTTGTCTCTCCTCTGTATATCTGACTTTGCAACAAAAATAAATAAATCTTATATTTTTTTAAAGTTGGTGATTTATTCCCCAAGTGACCACAAAGGCCGGTGCTGCGCTGATCTGAAAGCAGGAGCCAGGATCCTCCTCTAGGTCACTTACGTGGGTGCAGGGTCCCAAGGCTTTAGGCTTTAGCCACTAAGCCATTGCGCCAGGCCCCAAAATAAATAAATCTTAAAAAAAAATTAAAAGATGAGGGCCCAGCACAATGGCTGTATTGGCTAATTTTCCTTCAAGTGCTGGAACCCATCTGGGTGTCATTTCATGTTCTGACTGCCCCAATTCCCATCCAGTTGCCAACTTATGGCTGGCAAAGAAAAGGAGGATGGCCCAAAGCCTTGGGATCCTGGATTCACGTGAGAGACCTGGAAGAAGCTCCCGGCTCTGGAGGTTTGTATTGGCTCAGGTTCAGCTGCTGATGCCCCTTGAGGAGTAAACTAGTGAATGAAAGATCTTTGCCTCTCCTCCCCATAGATTAATCTTTCCAATAAAAATGAGTAAATATTAGAAAAACATGAAAGATGAGGTGTTTGAGGCATGAAGGCATGGTTGTGCCACTGTGCCGACACTCACAGAGGTTGTTTACAAGGCTTCCCGTTAAAAAAAAATTTTTTTTTTAAATATTTATTTATTTATTGGAAAGTCAGATATACAGAGAGGAAGATCTTCTGTCTGATGACTCACTCCCCAAGTGAGCGCAACGGCAGGTACTGCGCTGATCCGAAGCCAGGAGCCAGGAGCTTCTTCCGGGTCTCCCACATGGGTGCAGGGTTCCAAAGCTTTGGGCCATCCTCAACTGCTTTCCCAGGCCACAAGCAGGGAGCTGGATGGGAAGTGGAGCTGCCGGGATTAGAACCGGTGCCCATATGGGATCCCGGGCGTGTTCAAGGCGAGGACTTTAGCTGCTAGGCCACAGAGCCAGGCCCATTACCATTTAAAAATTTAAAAAATATTTGCTGCTGATAGGCAGGAAAGGAGGGAGACGTCAAATGATGGTAGCAGCAGCTGGGTTAGGCCAGAAGGCAGGAAGCTGGAACTCAATCCCAGCCTCCCACGCAATGGCAGGGTTTCAGTACCTGGGTCACTATTCGATCCCCTAGCGCTCTCATCTCAGGTCGATTTTCCAATTGGCACCTTAACAGATTAGGCCAAAAGTCTGCCCCGGGTTGTTTTTTTAAAGACACTTTCTATATTCATCACTACTTACATATAAATATCTAGTCATGTTTATATTCTCCAGTACTTCATTATGAAAATTTCAAACATTTACAGAAGTGAGAAGAATTTCACAGCAAGGTTCTTTAAGGCCTCAGGACCTTACCATGATCATTTTATTACACACGTGTTACCACACAGCTCTCCCTCCATCCATCTCCAAGCAGCTCCCTGCACGGATGTCTTACTGCTTACTCAGTGCTGTGGGCCTCCCACTTTCACACCTGTCCACTGTTCCTAGCCGTCTTTTCAAAACACAACTCCTACCACGACTGCATAACTTCTGTATAACAGAAGCATAAGTAATATTCCTGTAAACATCGGAAAAATGTTCCAAAGCCTTGCACGCGTGGCAGCCCCACCAGCCTTAGGGCTTAACGCTTCTCTCACGCATAATACTCTAGTGGCCACACGCACGGCACGTCCGAATCTCCCTTGGTATCTCTTAGCCTTTGTTTAGTTTCCTCTTTCTTTTTTCATTCATGTATTTTAATTAGAAAGGTGGAGAGAAAAAGAGACACAGAGAGAAAAATCTTTCACCCACTGGTTTACTCCCCAAATGGCCAGAGCCGAGTTGATAGGAAGCCAGGAGCCAGGAGCTTCTTCCGGACCACCCACATGGGTGCAGGTTCCCAAGGCTCCGGGCTGTCCACTACTGCTTTCCCAGGACACAGGCAGGGAGCTGGATGGGAAGTGGAGTAGTTAGGATATGAACTGGCGCCCATATGGGATCCTGGTGCATGCAAGGTGAGGATGTAGCAATTAGGCGATGGCGCCGGGCCCTAGCATCTTTCTGCCTCAGTTGCCCTCTTGTTCCCTTACCCCAGTTTCACGGTTAGGGAACCAGTGTTTGGTTCCATGGAACTACTAAAAACTCGGAGCCACCTTGTTCGGTATCACATCCCACGGCCCTGGTCACCGTACCACCACTCCACTCCCTTTCCGAGGCTTCTGACTTTCCTCGCTGCTCAGAAGCGTATGCTCAGAGACGAAGGCCGACTCCTCATCCTCGCGCTCTGTAAGGACTGAGAACTCACCAGGGCCCTGTCGCCCACGTTGGCGCGAGGGCTGCCCAGGGTGGCGGCAGGTGCGCGCAGAGAGCCTCCTCCTGGCAGCGCACCCGCTGCTGCCTTGCAAAGGCCGGGGCAGCCTTCCCAGCCGCAGCCGTCCTCGCCCTTCCCTCTTAGCCCCCCGACACAGACGACGGCTGGCACCCCGCTGCCGTGGGCGGCGAGGGGCACCTTCCCTTCCACAGGCAGCCGAGTGGCTGGCGGCCGTAAAGCTCCGCGGCGCCGACCGCTGCAAAGCGCCGTGCGACACACCTGGCATCGACTTACGGCCAACAGCCGCCCCCGCCCTGGCTTTAAATCTTTTTGGTTTCGGAGCCGATCGGAGGCGCCGCCCGCGCCGTGTGTGTGTTTGTGCGCCTTCCAGGCTCGCCGTCCCTTCCTCGGAGCCCTCTTCGGGGTGCAGCGGCGTCGCCCGAGCGGGACCCCGCTCCCCGCGCGCCTGCGCCCTCCATCTTCCCAGCGTGCTCCGCGGCGGCGCGAGTCCGCGGCCATGTTGCGGTAGTTTGTTGTTTTCTTCCTGCGGAGGCGAAGCTACTGCTGCTCCTGCTGCTGTGCTTCCCAACCCGCCCGGCCTCGCCTGGCTCCCCTTCCCCTCCCCCGGCCCCAGCCCTGGCCCGCCGTCCCCGTCCCTCCCCGTCCTCCGTCCCCCCGTCCCCGGGCCAGGCCGGGCGGCCCAGCAGCTGGCTTGGTGGGACGAGGCTGAAGGCCGGCCCCAGCGAGCACCATGGCGGCCGCCCTGGGTGCAGGCGGAGGAGCCGGCGCAGGAGGTACGTGAGGCTGCCCGGGGCTGCGGGGATGGAGGGTGGGGGTGCCCCAGCCCGGAGCCTGCGGCCGTGCGGGAGGCTGGGCTCTTCCCTGCTCCCACTCGCCGAGTGTGGGCCTCTGGCTCCTCGCGCGGTCCATCCCTATTGTCATGCAGGCAGGTGCAGATCGCGGCTCTTCCGTGGGTTGCTCGTGTTTGCTCCTGGACCTTGCGGCCGTCTGGAGCGTGGGTGTGCGCCGAGCGACGGAGCGCGCCCCTGCAGTGGCCGTGCCACTCACGGATAGCGGCCTGCTTGCCCTAGGATGAGTGGTCCCGACCGCGGTGCCTTCCTGTCTTAGCCTTACTTCAAACGCATTACAAAACCAGCTCTGAAAGATCCCACCACGGTGAAGGAATATCATAGAACAATATGGCGTTTTGTAAAGTGAGCATTGTTGAGAAATGCTCTTAAACTAAAACTAATCCCCTTATCAGCGTCTTGGAAAGATGAAAGCAAGGAAAGATCTAGATTCAGATGGCCAAGTATGTGGAGCGATTCTTGCAATGGATTTTTAGAAGAGGTTGTGATGAAAATTTTGCTAATGAAGACCCTTAGATCAATCAAGTAAGAACAGCAAACGTATCTGGGATAAGCTCTTGCTATGGAAATGTTAGTGTACACTGCAGAGATATTCTTAGGATTGCTTACAGATATATATACGCGTATATACACATTTGCAATAATTTGCTTAGGAATTTTGGACAGAAATAGTGAAATGCTTGTGTGACAAAATGGAAAGGCAGAATTACGGCGATCGGATGCAAGAATGATGCTTCTGGAAAGGTGGTTTTTTAGATGTCAGTTTAAATGGATTGCTGTTTTGTATGTTAGGGCTGAGGCTTGTTACATTTCTAAGTGTGTGAAGTACTTTCATTGGTGGCCTTATGGAGGACAAAATGATTTGTGCCATTCAGTGCTCTTGGGTCAAATCTGCTTTCACTAAAAGGGTTAAGTGCGTTTTTTCATTCACTCAACCACAGTGATATTTTTCAAAGGCTGTATAACACATCTAATGGCTAATGGTGTGTGTTTTGTGCATCCTCCAAGTTTCTGATTCTTATTTGTCTATTTCTTTGATTATTTATTAAAGAGGGAGAATTAGAGAGGTGAAGAGAGAGATTGAGAGAGATTGAGAGAGAGAGAGAGAATGAATCTGACTTGCATCGTCTGGCTCATTCCCCAGGTGGCTGTGATGGTTAGGCCTGGGGAAGGCAGCCGGGAGCTTCTTCCAGTCCTTGGCCCATCTGCTGGCCGGGTGTTACTCCCGGGTGCACCAGCAGGGCGCTGGCTCAGAAGCCGAGAGCAGCTGGGACTGGAAGCAGAGCTCACGAGTGATGCCAGCGTAGCTTGTGCCACCCCGTGTTTTAATTTCTGAAATTGTGAACATGAATACAGGTCTGTGTAAACAAAAGCCTTTTGGGCTCCTTGAGAGTTTTGAGGCCCGAAGATGTGAGAATTGTCCGTTAGAGGTGTAGGTAGGCTTGCTTTTTTAGCACGTTAGTTTGTGTGATCATTTTGTCACGATTGCCAGGCTTTTCATCATGCCTAGACTGAAAGCAGGTTTCTTGCCGAGGTTGGTGAGTTCTGTGTCTGACCTGGGCCCTGTCTCCCTCGCCTACACGCCGTGTGAGTGTGGCCTCGCACCTGGCAGGGCTTTGCTGGGCCTGGGTCAGTCCTGCCCTCTCCGCTGTGAGCTACTGAGAGAGGCCTTTCTTCACGAGTCATTCTCTCTGTCCTCTGTCTCCTCCACCTGTGTTCTACAGAGCCTTGAATTCAGTTTGCAATTTTCTTTAGCTATCTGTCTGCTTTTGTTAAGTTTTCTCCTCTGGTAGTCTGAAGGCTCCAAGAGGAGAACCTGCCTGTCTGTCTTACCATGCATCCCAAGTTGCAGGTACATAGCTTGTGTTCAAGTATTTGGTGAATGAATGACTTAAATCATGGATCTAGAAAAACTACCATAAATTACTGCTAGTTCCATATTCTTTTTAAAAAAATTTTATTATTTTTTTTATTACGAAGTCAGATATACAGAGAGGAGGAGAGACAGAGAGGAAGATATTCTGTCCGATGATTCACTGCCCAAGTGAGCTGCAACAGCCGGTGCTGCGCCGATCCGAAGCCAGGAGCCAGGAACTTCTTCCAGGTCTCCCACACAGGTGCAGAGTCCCAGAGACTTGGGCCATCCTCAACTGCTTTCCCAGGCCACAAGCAGGGAGCTGGATGGGAAGTGGAGCTGCTGGGATTCGAACCGTTGCCCATATGGGATCCCAGCGTGTACAAAGCGAGGACTTTAGCTGCTAGGCCATGCTGGGCTTTAGTTCCATATTCTTTATCTGTAGAAGTGACGGAATCATATTGCGAGGTTAGAGACATGCTTAGGTGTGGTAATACTTTCATGCTTATTTGGTAACTGTGGCGTATTGCCTAGCACAGTGGCTTTTTCCCCCCCCTTAAATTGCTTCCCTCTTTGAAGTGATTGTGTATTTAGGATATACATAAAACAAGAAGCTTTGTGAACAATACTAGTGTATACTTATTTCATTACAATAAACTGCTCCTTGGAAAGCAAATAGCACAATCCATTGAGTGTGCAAGACTGTCAGTTTCAGAAATTAATGGCTTCCTGGCTAGAAAGTGGTTGATGTTTACTGCATTAACGGGGCATAGCTGTCTGGAACTTAGTCCAAAACTCATGGATTCTCAGAAAAGCCAAGGAAGAGACCACAAAGTGCTGGTTCTTCCGGGAATGCTTGCCTCTGCTGCTGCTTTCCCAGGCCACAGCGGAAGGCTGGATGGGAAGTAAGCAGACCTGGCACAAACTGGCACCTACATGGCATCCTGGCACTGATGGAGAATTGGTGCCACCTCAAGAATAAGTTTTTAATGCAGTTTTTCAAATCGCAGTTGGTAGTTAACTTTCCACATTGATTCACATGTCACCGTCTGTGGATGTTCCTTGGTTAATGATGGGATTACAGCCTGGTAAGCCCATCGTAGGTTGAACCGGCCCCAGTCAAACATGTGTTTATCATCCTGACCTATAAAACATCATAGTGCGGGCTCTCCTGCTGTAACTGTTCTCAGCATGCACAGTGCTTTCCTGCAGTGGAGTCTCACAAGAGACTCACAGGTATATCTCTCACATGGTGAAAGGGCAACATTTATTTTGTAAAGATTGATTTATTTTTTTATTACAAAGTCAGATATACAGACAGGAGGAGAGACAGAGGGGAAGATCTTTTGTCCGATGATTCACTCCCCAAGTGAGCTGCAACGGCTGGTGCTGTGCTGATCTGAAGCCAGGAGCCAGGAACATCTTCCGTGTATCCCACGCGGGTGCAGGGTCCCAAAGCATTGGGCCATCCTCAACTGCTTTCCCAGGCCACAGGCAGGGAGCTGGATGGGAAGTGGAGCTGCTGGGATTCGAACCGTTGCCCATATGGGATCCCGGGGCATGCAAGGCGAGGACTTGAGCCGCTAGGCCATGCCACCAGGCCTGTGGCAACATTTTTGAAGTACAGTTTTTACAGAATATATCACTTTCATACTTTCTTCATATTTATTCATTTCAAGGGCAGAGTTAAGAGACTGTGAAGGAGGGATCTGAAGCCAGGAGCTTCCTCCAGGTCTCCCACATGAGCGCAGGGCCAAGCGCTCCGTCCGTTTGCTGCTGCTCTCCCAGGCGCACAGTGTCAGAAGCTGGAATGCAAGTGGAGCAGCTGGGGATTTGAACCAGCACTCCTATGGCTTCCTCCCTCGCCCACTTCCTCCCCACTTTTAAAGAAAGTTTCTAACCTTCTAACTGATAGTTGTATATATACAGCAACTTTTTGATTTGTTTTTATTCAAGGAAATCCTTCATACTGAATTACTTAGTATCAACCAAGAGAATTTGGAAACTGTAGGAAAAAATAGTTTCTCTTTGGTTTTAACCATTAAGACAGCTTTTTTTTTTTTTAAGGGTTTATTTACTTTTATTGCAAAGTCAGATAAACAGAAAGGAAGATCTTCCATCCTGATTCACTCCCCAAGCGGCCACAATGGCAGGAGCTGAGCTGATTCGAAGCCAGGAGCCAGGAGCTTCCTCTGGGTCTCCCATATGGGTGCAGGGTCCTAAGGCTTTGGGCCGTCCTGGACTGCTTTCCCAGGCCACAAGCAGGGAGCTGGATGGGAAGAGTGATGTAGCAGGGTTAGAACCGGCACTCTTATGGGATCCCAGCATGCAAGACAAGGGCTTGAGCCACCAGGCTGCTGAGCTGGGCCCTTTGAGTGGCTTTTAACATTGCTTTGTGGGACCGGACTGTTGGTGACAAATTCCTTCAGGTTCTGTGTATGTGGGAACCTAATTTTTTAAGAATTAATCTGATAGAGAAATTGCACATGTGAGTTATCCACTGTTGGTTCACTCCCCAAACGCCTGCATTGAAACTTGGGAGTTGAGAATGTCGGAGTTGAGGTAGCGCAGTGGTGGCAGGAGCTTAATTACTTGAGGCGCCTCTGCCTTGCAACAGGGCCCATCTTACTAACTGCATGATTCATCAGGACCTGGAGCTGGGCATCACACCCTTCATGACGGATGCAGGAAGGACTGCAAGGCAAATAGCCACTGGTTTTTATTTTTGTAAAAGATTTCTTTGGGGGACTTTGTGGTCTATCAGGTTAAGTGTTGGCCTGTGATATGGCAGCATATGCACCGGTAAAGCAAAGGAACGGACTCTGCTCCAGTCCAGCTTGGTGCATGCGTGCCTGGGAAGCAGAGGACGGCCACACGGGCCCTGGTCCCTGCCACACACGGGCCCTGGTCCCTGCCACACACGGGCCCTGGTCCCTGCCACACACGGGCCCTGGTCCCTGCCACACACGGGCCCTGGTCCCTGCCACACACGGGCTCGGGTCCCTGCCACACACGGGCTCGGGTCCCTGCCACTCACGGGCTCGGGTCCCTGCCACTCACGGGCTCGGGT